AAAAATTTCCTACCCACCTTAAACTAATTAACTTCTCCCCACTCCCCTCCTCTTTCGTTTATTCATTTTTTACTTGTTATCAACAAAATATTTATATCTCAAGACTAAAAAAAAAAAAAATTCAGTAGAAGTTGGCCTTAAAAATTAAGAAAAAAATAGAAAATAACTATTTCACTCACAGATAAATACGAAATCTTTCAGTGTAAACAGGCTTTTAAAATTTTGGTTTTTTACTACCTGTGACCAGTTTTTATTCTACCTCACTGAACTCAGAACCTCACTGGTTCAGACACGTCACATACATCACGTCTGACAGATACGTCAAAGATAATTATTCACTTTCAAGAAAATTGATTACTGTTTACACTCAAGTGTGAAGTGACCTTAGAGTTTCACTTGAACCGAATTTTGTGTTCAAAGGCAAAAGTGTTTGGGTTAAGCTTAATCCTCCTCAAGATGTGAAGTTTTAATCCTTGTCTAAAGATTCGTATTGATTAAATTATTTGCTGATTACAATAGCTAACTTATCAAACAGGCCCAATACTTTTTTCACATCAAAATTATGTGATTTATGTTCTAGATGATTATAGTGTTCATATAATGCCCGAAATCAAAGTTGTCTTACTGAAGAATTGCTATATTTTCCTTGGAAAGGTGGTGTTGTTACAGGGCATTTTCAAGTTAATAATACAAATTTCCACAGGCCTTTAAAAGCTAAATACCAAGAATTAAAGCAAAACCTTATGATGGAACAACTAAGGATTGACCCCAACAAAATTCCACAGCCACTAAAGATTCAAATGATGCAAATGCTGCAAGAAAGTCGGAACTCGTTAGAGGTTAATGGAGATTGAAAAGCAACATTTTAGTCAATAAAATGAAAACGGTACGTGTACCAATAAAACAATTATAATAGAAATTGTTGGTATTACATAGTAGAACACTCATGTAACCGTTATTTTAAAGACAGTGACCAAATATCACATTAATCAGCAACGTTTTAAGGTATAAGTAGCAAAAACTAACAAAATTTAAACTAAAACTTCCTATTTATATTTAACCAGTTAAGCAATCAAGCTAAAATATAATCAGACTGAAGTAAAATTAAAAGTGCAAAATCTGGTCAAATGACTACCAGTTTACTCTTAAAATCTTTATGGAAACATTTACTTTCAATAATAAGTAAAAAATATTCCGCGGAATAAATAAAAAGATTTCAAAATTTGCATCACAAGATACCTTGATATGTACGCTATCTATTAACTATGCAAGAAAAAATAACTTTTAATGTTGGAGCTAAAACAAATACTTGTTATTGTTGATGCTTCACTAAAAAATTAGACTTTTAAAATTTATGCTAAAAAAAAGCGTATTTTTGGGATCCTATTTTCAAATTTCTAAACTTATTAGAGGTACACTCTGCTTGTATGTTTTTGAGTCAATTGTCTATGCATTCAACGTGAAAAAGAGTATGTATGAAAAAGGGTATGTAAGGGTATGTAAAGGGATGTATTAGTAGCAATTACTACAGATAAATTAGCAGGAAGCCTTGCTGAATTTCATTCGCTGCAAGTTCAAGTTGATGTCAAAGTATTTCTGCAAAAAAAATATTTTAATGTCTAAAATACAGTTCGTGAAATGTTCTTGGATGTAGCGACTATAGGTGTAAAGGGCTACAAAATTGTTGCAGATGTCAATTGCAAAAGTAATTTGGATAAGGCGATGGACTTGTTCAATAAAAATTTGATAGAAAATCTAGAATTGGAAGATGATAAGTAAAAAGAGTAGAAGATGATAAGTACTTTCTTGTTAACTTTTTATTTCTGTTTTGTGATTAAATTAACAAGGTAAAAAATTTCTAAACAAACAAACAAAAAATATTATGTTCATACTCAATAGTAATTTTAGGTGTTAATTTATCATTGATTAATTTAACCAGACTAAAATAATCAGACTAAAACTGCTATTTTTAGTTAAAAAAGACCGTATAGATTCAACCCAATCCTTGTCAAAGTTTTCAAAAAAATTAAAATTGTGAAAAATACTATAGGGTCATACCTTATAGTCGCGGTCGTGACATTTTTACTGCAACAGGTGAAAATATAAGCAAGGAACTTAATAAACCTTTATTTTTTGGTAATGTGTACATTTTTACATTTGGTCACGTACTACTATCGGAAAAATTTAAAGTAGAATTTATGCTATACCCAGCTAACACAAAACGTTCAACAAACGTTGCGAACGTTCAAGAACGTTCTATAAACGTTCATAGAACGTGCGCCAACGTTTCCAACGTTCATCGAACGTACTTGAACGTTTTGTAGTTGCATCACTATGTCAAAATAAAATCAGTCGCGGTCCTGACAGCTACAAAAAGAAAAATAGAACTTGATTAAGTAATTTGGTTTTTTGTTGAAAACATTCAGCAAATTAAAAATTGAATTTTTTTAACTATTTTTTAGAGGATTTTATATTAACTATAATGCATTTTTTTTGTTTGTTTGTTCATATTTTACATAAAATTGTAGCTTGCAAAAAGTCGTGGTCGTTGCCACAAAGTATTGTACTATCAGATAACATTACATTTTAGGTATTTTTATGCAATGCTAAAGTTTTTAAAAATATATTTAAAAAAACGTTTTTAAACAATTTAAACAATGTTTATTGTTTGAATAATAAGTTGTCTTGCTTTAACCTTTTTAAACGTTACTTTGTGTATATTTAAGTCGATTGCGTAAGCCTTTTAAGAATACATTACAAATGTTTTTCATCCCTCAAAGATAAAATTAAATATATAAAAATTGAACTGTTTAAGAAAAAAATCTTTAAAGTTTATTCAAGTAAAATACTGAAGCATGTTTTGCTGTGATCATTTTTATCTGTTAAATAAGTAACCATATTTTTCAAATCTTTCCCATGAACAGCAAAAGTGAAGATTGTTATTTGAGATTGTCTCCAATAAGCACATTGAACAAGTTCTTGATGAATACAGCTATAGTTTCTTCTAAAAGCAAAGTGTATTAATAATTCACCATCCATAATATTATCTATTTTAGTGGAGATAAACAGACGCTTCGTGACGTTTAACTAAATGGTGAATCTGAAATTGAGAAAGCATTTTAAAAACTCTGTATATATTTCATATAATTAATCCCTACTGTAGACGGTTTGTAACCTTGTCTTTGTACCAATTTATGTAACTGACTTCAATGCATCCTTCGTTTTGCTCTTTAAATGGTGATCGCATTTGGTTGTTGGATAGTTAGCACAAAAACTACGTGAGAGGCAATCTTGAGTAAGAGGGCTGCAAAGAATTCATTTGTTTACCCAGTTTGTGTTATAAGGTTCAAAATTAAGGTTTGAGGATAAGGCAGGGGACTTATTAAAAAAAATTTTATAAATCACACAACGGCAGGTTTCAAGAGGCGTCTCTTAATATGGGAGTATAAGAGCTGGACAAAGTGCACAAAATTTGGAAAATTTTATCTCGCGACCAAGTTCTTCTGCACTCAGGGCATAACAATCCGTTAATTTAAGTTACAAGTAATATTTTTGAAATTTTTTACCATCAATTTTTATAAAGTCTTTCATACCTAGAATTCATCAAGATATTTCTTCGAATTGTAAAACTACTTTGCATGATTGAATACACTAGAAGATAAACGGATACGATTTTTATCTTTAATACATCTGGTAAAATGATGTCATTTTTATTGCTAACTGTTTAATAACATAATCTGCTTTTTGTGGCGACTTTGGTAAAGCCAATTTAAAGCGGTTCACAGCACGAGCTTCTGACGAACTTGAATGATAGACGAGTTCTTCCATTTGGCTAGGAGAAGAACAAGAAATATCAATGATACCTTAAGCTTTTGATGACCTTTATGTTTACGTAGTCGTAATTTAGCAAGCTCTTTTTTTTCAATTCTTGCTCTGGTATTAATTGTTGGCGACAAATATTACTTCGTTTTTTTCTATTTCTTTTAATACAGTTTCCTCTTTTTTTCTTATAATCTTTACAAACTTGTTTCTCTTATAATCTTTACAAACTTGTTTGTGCGGTTTGGTCGTTGTTTTAATATTTACATGTTTCCTGTATTTTTATGTAGAATATGTCAAATAAGTTATATTTTAAATTAGTTCATAACATTTAAATACACACTTGTACCAATTACTTAAATTGCTTTTTTTAACACAAAAATATTAAAAAAAGGGCTACCAAATTTTAAACAACTTTCTCACATGTATAAAAATAAATGTCAAAGTAAATATTTTTTTTAGATGCACGAATGTGTTGTTAATTTAATTTAAAAAAATCTATTTCTAATATTCAGTTGAAATATTTTTGAAATATGACAATCTTATGTGGAATGATCCTATAATATTATTAATTTTAATTATTGTTATAAAAACATTTTCCCAAAAGTATCTTATGATGTGTTTTAAGTATATTAATCTAAACAAAACTTTGTTTATAAAGGTGTCTAACGTTTCTTTGTATCAACTCGCCTAGATGACCCAACTTTTTTGTATATAGTGACCACACTGTTTCAGCTCTTTGCATATAAAGTATATTATTCTTGCAAAAAAATTTAAGTGAGTATTGCTCAAGAACATTTTTAGAAAAAGCAAAAACAAAAGTCACATCAAAGATTTGAAAAAAGGGAAAATGACTTTTTCTCTTTTTTTCTAATTCTGGGAGTGAGGTTATGAATAATAAATAGTTTAGTATTGATTATTTATATTCATTATTATTTTTTTTTTTCTCAATTTATTCATTTATATTAGTTTTTTTATTTCATTTTAGCAAATTAAAAAAGTTTAGTATGAAATATTTCAATATTTATTTAAAAAATTTAAATTTTTCATTTACAATTTTGACAAAAGCATTTGATTGTTTTTACATTCGATATTTGCATTTACAAGTTAGTGACGCCCTCTAAAAATATCTGATTTTAAAATGTAAACTACTCTAATGAAAATTATTACACAATCCATGATTACGCAGTCAGTTACATTACAAATCAGTTTTTAAATTTCTAGGATGCAAAATATTTTCAAAAACAAAAGAAACTTCATTATCTATTGTATTGTTTTCCTCCGCAATACTTCCAACTTGTTCAACATCTTCTCCTCCGGTTATTGCAGTTCTTTGATTTTTCATATTTAACGTTTCTACATTACTTTGACTTATGCTATCGTTTTCTATACTTTGCAGCTCTTCTTGTTTCAATATACTTTCAATTGGAATTAAACCAGCATTAATAAACTTTTTCATTATGGAATCGCTTGGAAAGTTGATAAACTTAAGACTAACACCTTTTTTCGACAACTCTGCCATCATGAATTCAAAATTTTTAAGTATTGTAAAATCAACCCGCACCATGGTCGACATATCTAAGTACAACGTTTTAATACCAGCACAACTATTGACCTCAGAATAAATTGTTTTATTCACAGCTCCCACTCCTGGATATGTTAGATTTTCCATTAATAAAAGTGTTAAAGATCTTCCCGTGTCATCTGTCTCGCAAAAATATTTTGGACGCGCCTCTCGAGAGAGCATTAGTAGAATTGAAATCCCGGTTCCTGAAATTACTCCGTATTCTAGTTTGTAGAAACTCATGCCGAAAGCAGCCATAAAAGGTAACAAATCCCATTTGTACAACTTCCAAATGTCTTTTGTTAAACTCATTTCAACCATGGTTAAAACAGCCATTAGCATCATAGATCCTAGAGCAGCCGATGGAATGTAGTAAAATGCTGGGGTCATAAACTCTAGAGCAATCAACGCAACAATTCCACATATTACACCTAAAAAAAACAGTTTTTTTTATTATTTTACTCTGTTTTCTAACTTATATATTTAATTGTTTATTTCTGAAAAGTATAAATAAATATTTATAAAAATATATATGCACTAAAAAGTTCAAACATATACTTATAAACTAATCTAATGCAAACTCGTTTAACCTAATTTTAAAGTTGTTACAGGCTGGGCCGAAGACACCGGAGGAGCACGTGCCCCCCCCCCCCACTTTTTTTCTAAAGGAATTTTAGAATAAGAAAAATATTAATATAGAGGACTTTTCTCACAAAATAATGATTGTGCCCCCCTCCCACTTCAAAACCCTTGTCGTCGGCCCTGATAGGTACTTGTACCTTAAAATGTTGGTAATTGAAATTCGGTCTTCTCTAATTTCTAATCAATTGCAGTTAGTTTTATATTTTGCAAGGAAGTAAACGAGGCATAAGAAACAGTATTCTATGTAAAGTATGCTGTGACAACTGAATATAATGTGAAATTTGTTTTAAGAATTAAAACATATATTTACACTTAAGACTTAAAATTGACAATATTTAAATCCAATTGCCATTTTAGTTATGATATATCCTACATTTTAAGGTCAGCATTGATTTTCTAAAATCTCCATTGTTGAAATTTAATTTTACAATTTATTGAACAAATATTAAATAAATTTCAAATAATGAACAAAACACCATTATAATGAGAAAAAGAAAGATTCATAAAAATGTTAGGAGTTGATATTGATGATCAATTAAAAAGCTTCATTTTTGGTTTAACACAGTCAGTTTTGCAGGACTGCTTGATACAAACTGACTTTAAAACATCTTTGAAAATAGACATTGCTGGAGGCCGTTTTTTAAAAACAATTTTTGCATTTAATAAATTTTTCTTTTATTATTTCATGATTTTTTTCAATCACTTTCTTCTTGTTATCTTTTTGCTTTTACTCATTTTATTTTTCAGTTACCGTTTCTAAGACCTTTTCGCTTTTAATTGATCCATATTGTTGTGTTACTCTTTTTTTTATTTAGAGGTGACTTTTAAAGGTATTGAGAATATGGTAGAAAATTCGGAACATATTCATTTTGTAATGGAGATTCAGTAAGACTGAGGATAACACGATATGCATTTTCAAGTTTTTTTTGTAATAATCATAAGAAAATATTCTAATACCGTGAGGGGATTACGTTTTGTAAAAAGTATCACTTTGGGTCTGGGAAAACTAAATAGTTGCTATAAATTTCGCTGCTTGTTTAAGTTTATCATTTTGTATTCAGTTAACAGTTAGACCTGCAAAACCAACCACTTTTGCTGCATTGAATATAAATTCTTTTGTTGTTCATAAATACCATATCTCCCCTAATATTTTCATGAACCCAGAACGATCAAAAGTCATTATATTAAAAAAGAGTTTTGATTTACATTGGCAATAATGATGGCGTAAACTATGATTTACTTAATCCAACATTGACACCAACAAAAAGACCAATTTGTTTTTCACGACAATAATAGAGGTCACTAAAATTGAACCTCAATGAGTGACTATCTGTCAGTACTACCACAGGTCTCTCGACATTTTTTTTTGTTAATTAGCCATCAAAGAATTTATAGAATTCGAGTAGAGAGTTTTGATAATTAACTTCAGGTTCTGAAAATGATATACACTTTCCTGATAATATCTCATGGCAAATGACTAAATCCTCAGCACAAGCCACAAGTATGTGAATAGTAATACAATCTCTTTTCTTGTAGATCATTTGATAGCAACTGTCCTTTTCAGCAAACACAAACCCGCTTACATTTCCGCCAACTACAAAGTTTACAAACTGTGGTGTTTCATTATAACTAAACATGAATTAAGAGTCTCCTATACCGTACGGCTCTCCTTCTGAAGTTTTTTCATTCTCCTTCTGAAGTTTTTTCACTGCTTTTCATTACACCTGTAATTTTAAATTTTTTGGCTACTTCATTTAAATGAATTTCAACCATTGCTCTAGTGCAGTTTAACGAAACCTCAACTCTACCTTGCTTCTTATGAATTAGACTGGGGTGCTTTGCTTTGAACCTTTACCAGAAAGAACGTGATTTGCGAGTATTACTCTTACTACATTAGGTGATAACTTGCAGTATAAACTATTGTTTTTCAAGTTTTTATCAGCATGCATATAATGCTTTCATATATTTAACATGACTGGGAACAATTCTTTTCTTGCAATACCTTATAGACATCATTTATTTTTTAAATTCTGATTCACTCCCAAAAAGGCTGGAAGCAACCACTGATAATTTGGGTATTACTAGGAAAACAATTATAGAGCTATAGAGCAAGAAAACGTTTGACAGAAGACTTGAAAAATTGAAGATTGTTTGGGTCAGGAAAACATGAAGATAGGAGAAAGTTTCAAAGAGTTAAAGTGTAAGGAAATAAACTAGGCTAATAAAAATTTTTAGAGCATGCATTGTCATATACTGTAAAAGAATTAGACTTTGCTGAATGATGAGTTAAGTAAGAATGAGTTTTAGTTGATGGAACTCGAGGTGGTAGCTTCTTTGAGCAGCGACCATGATTTGGAGAGAAGAGAAAGAGGTGCAACTTTACGACGATGGAAAAAAGGCTCAAGCTTAGCAGATAGAGAGGGTAAACTACGTTTACAATGCGTTTTTCGACCTTGTCAATAAGAGAAAAAGCATCATTAGAAGAAGGAGCTCAAATATGAAAACAGTATTTCATACTGAAGCAAATGAGAAATTTATAGAGGTAGAGAATTGAATCAGGAGTAAGAAAATGGCAAGAACGATAAAAAGAGGCAACCTTAATGGATGCTAGTTTCAATTGTTTGTATATATGATTTCCATAAAAGGTTTGTAGTAAAACATAATCAAAAAAGAAGTAAAGAAGTGTCAGGGTTGCCATTCATTAATATAGAAATGCCGACGGGATTTTGAAATTCCTATATTAATGAATAGCATATATTGTTATATTGTCATTGACATATTGTTGCTTAAAGTAAATATCTGAGTTTTGTTGGAGTTTAAGTTTACAAGCCACTGTGAGCCCTAATCTGTTACAGAAGAGTTGGTTATTGGCTGCCTGTTCTAAGAGATCAAAAAGAGAAAACTTTTTGTCAAAACAAAAGTATAAAGTTAAGTCATCAGCAAAAAGAGCTACTTTAGATGTAAGGTTGTCGGGAACATCCTTAGCTTATTAAGACCCGGGCCCCGTTTATTAACTTTTACTTGTTAACGAAAAAAAATTAATACCTCAAAACTTAAAAAAAAGTATTAATTTTATTAGATCTTGACTAAATAACCCTTCCCCCGCCCGTTAGTTCCCCCCACCCCCCTCCTTTCTTGTATTAAGGATTCGAGACTACCACCATATAAAACAAGCTTATGGAGAAGACCAGCATGCCAAACTTTGTTTTGGCCTCAGATGTGTCAAGAGCTCTATCTAATGCACGATAAAATCTTTCAGTCACAGCAGTTAGCAGATCAGCCGTAAACCGAGAGAATTGAAATCCGTATTGACTGTCTGAGAGTAAGTTATTTGATTCAAGATGGGACGTGAAAAATTTGTTGATCAAAGACTCAAAGACCTTGCTAATAACAGAAAGAAGACTGATCGGACGATAATTGATGCTAAGATTAGAATATTGTCTGGACCAAAGACCGTAGAAGAATTTAATTTAGATATGAATTTAGCAACAGAAGCTGAGTTGATTTGAATGTCTAACAGTGAGTTAACTTGTTTAATTGGAATGGGAAGGAAGAGCAATAAATTTCAAGAGTCAAATTTGAAGTAAAGTTCTTTGCAAATAGTTCTGCTTTATCTTTAAGAGAGGTAATAAGAATAGTCCATTATAGAAGTTATAGACTTTAGTGCCAGCAGGATCAGTGGCGTTAGAACCAAGTCATCCAGTATACTGAGCATTAAAGTACCAATAACAACATCATTGGCAAAGAGGTAGAGAGAAAGGGCATGGTCAATTTGATTAGAACTTACATTTAAAAGTGCAGTCTTGAGAAAAAGGAGAACAACAAGGAAAAAAGAGAAAAGCGATAGAGTGAAGAGGTGCTAAATGGAAGCACATAAAAGGATGGTCAAAGGATTCGAATCTGATTTTACGACGAATAGGTGAATTGATGCTTATGTATACGCTCAAACCAAGCATGTGACTAATGAAGTCTTTGCGAATCAAGGGATAGTACCCATCAACACTGAGATCTGAAGAAGGAATAGCAAAATTTAAATTAGTCTCACTAAGAGCAAGCAAGTCTGATAAATTTTGCATGTGGTAAAATGCAACTGATGGAAGGTTGCTTTGCACACCACGATTACTTGTAAAAGATATAATAAAACAGTTAGGTAGTAGGAATAAGAGTGTCCCAAAAAAATATATTATTTAAAACTTCAATATGCTCTCAACTGATTCCCATTCTATAGGTCCTAAATAACTACCAAAATCTTTTTTTAAATTTTTTAATGACTAGAAGTGATAGATAAATTCTGAGTTTTACAGTTTTGTACACTTATGTACATTTACATAAAAACAGCGCTATCAAGTATTTTAATATGTTTAATATGATAATTGGTACATAAATAATTCCCATAGGACATTATTAAAGATTGGCATCATTCCCTATGAACATTGTTAGCAATTTATATAATTCCCTACGGACAATATTATTAGCTGGGATTCACAAATAATTCTATTTAGAAATTTTTTTTGAAGGAATTTGAAAAAATTTCTAAATGGAATTATTTATGCCCAAAGGAATTCTAATTTATGCACGAAAGAATTCTCCTGTAAACGGTTACAAAAGCCGTAACAGTAAACTTAGATAAAATATAATACAAGAGGAAATAACGACTTCATAGATTTTTGATGCAAGTGTAAAATATAGTATAAATCTAATAAAAAACTGATTATTTCAAAATTTATATAAAAAATGGGTAGAACAGCTAAAAAAGGATGATAATGGAACAGAATAAAATAAAACCGGA